TTATGGTGATTGTTGACCGTTTTTCCAAGTTCTCAAATTTGATTTAATTGCCACATCATGCCCAATTGCCGTTGTGATCCGCGAGTTCCGCAAAAAGTACATTTTACAATACGGGACCCCGAAAACCCTAGTGAGTGACGAGGACTCTCTCATCATAAGCACTGATTGAAGGACATCACGTCCCAACTCCCTGGCCTCAAACTGAAGATGGCATTTGGTCGACGTCACGAAGCTAACAGATTGGTTGACAAGATTAACCAGACTGTGTTTCAACTTCTCTATGCCTTAATAATTCCAGATAAGGAAACGTGGGATGAAGAGCTGTATTCGTTCAAGAAGTTGTACAACAACTCCATTCATTCTTCTGTCGACTTGACACCAAACATGCTACATTACGGTTGGACGATCCGTAATCCACTCTCCTACTGAATCTCTGAACGGTCGGCTGGTCTAACGCCTGGCAGGCCTGGCTTCAGCGCTGAGTATAATCACTTGCTCAAAGTTGCCATTGCAGCAATGACCAAGTGACAACACGCCATCATGATGATCCATCATGCAAATAAGAAGCGTCAACCATCGACCATCGAAGTGGAAAGTTATCTCTGGGTCAAGATGTCTGAATTTTTGGAAGAAGAGGGGGTGTCAAGCAAACTTCTCCCTCTCTATTATGGTTCATGGGCAGTTCTGGATGTGATTGGTGCAGATAAGTTTGGTCCTTCATACGTAATTGTCGTGCCCGGCCTCCTCATCTACGCACGTACCCAGTCGTTCACGCATCTAAGTTGTTTCTATATCGTGCTGCTAAGATCTTCAAATACCGTGAGAATATGATCCCTTGTGCAATTAAAGGCGGTCACGAGATAGATAGAATTGTACAGCACACTGATGAGGGGCGTAACAGACAGTACCAGGTTCATTTCATGTAGCATCCATTGGATGCTCTTTATTGGATCTCAAAGAAGGAACTATTGCATAGCACACCTCACGATGTTAAAGCATATGATTGACAAATAGTCTCCGGTGTTGTCCCAAAGATCTCTGCGAAACTCACTGCTACCGAGTATTCACGAAACCTCTTCACTATGTACGCTTACAATGTGTTTGGAGGAACTCAGACCGAGTTACTCGTTCAAAGGGACCTTGCTCTTGAGGAGGGGATAGTGTAAGGACCTGCCAAACACAGACTGAGACACACAACTGATTTCTGAGTTTTGCCAATGGAATGAATGCCTTGCTGAGTTTTCCGCTTGTTGCTGAGTTTCCTAAGTCTGTGTGTGTGCGTGCTTGCTGGTCCGCGTGCCTGACTGAGTGCTTGACGACTTGAATGTGTGTGTGACCCGCAAGGTTACTTGCTTGCTTGTGGAGGCCCATAGGGCCGGTACTTACCTGTGGCCGTGACATTGAGGGTTGCAGCGGGCAAACCACAACACTTAGAGCAGCGGGAAGAACACTCAAGTAGCAGGTAGGCTGGTACCACACCAAGTAGTAGATGTGTCGGGTACTCGAGGCTGAGCAGAAGAAGACGAAAGTTGGCATTTTTAGAGGCCCAGTAGTTGCAGGCTAGGTCTAGGCAGGTACCAGTCCAAGTAGTCTGAGTCTAGGGCCTGTACGGGCAATATCAGAATCTGCAATGATGTTTCCCTCCGAAAGGGAGGAGGTACGGGTTGCTTAGAGGCAGCGCAGACTACCGGTTGCTTAGAGGCAGCGCAGCCTGGAAAGTCGCCGCCCAGGCAAGCAGGCCGCTATATCTCCAGGAGGAGCGAAGTGCTCCTCCTTTGCTCCTCCTCATTTGCAGCATGCAAGTTTGGAGTCACGTGGCTGGAGTGCTGGAGGAGCACGCTGGAGTGCAGCGCTGTGTGGGAAAGAGGAGCGCCCAGCTCCCCACCGTGGCTATGGTGGAGGAGCTCGGGCTGGAGGAGGAGGAAGAAGAGGACTAGGAGGGGGGAGCGCCAGAGGTACTTACCTGGCTATGGCGGATGCACATCTTCATCACCTTGGTGGGCGCTGCATGTGGAAGGCCCCCGTTGGGGTAGAGCTACATCAAGAAGCTTCGAGGCAGAGTCAGGCATGGCGGCCTGAGCAGGAGCAGCCATAGCTGCTTAAAGTTTGTCTTTTGCACATCGGGGCAAGGCCCTAGTAGTCCACCATAGCCTCGGCCTTCAGGAAGAGGAAGGAGAAGGGTGACCATCGCTATGGTGGACCTCATGTTGTGCCTGCAGTAGAAGAGGGATTCGGACATTGATTCTGGTTCAGCCATTCAACATTATTATTATCATTTATTGTGAAATAAAGAGGGGAGGAGAAAAGGAGGAGGAGAGTGGTTGGCGAGAAGAAGGGAATTATCATTGGTCTTTGCTGGTGTACATCTTCTTCTTCTTCTTCTTCTTCTTCTTCTTGTTCTTTCCCTCTCTCCTCTCAAGTTCATTCATTTCTTTTGCAATTGGACGGCATTGTGCTTTCTCATGAATTTGTACATCGAAATTGGCCAGGATCATAACACCCCTCTTTTTTTTTCTTTTTTTTTTTGTGTGTGTGTGTTTGTGTGTCTGTGGATGACTCTAATCTATTGGGGGGAGTTTCACCTGCTGGAAAACGGGCCCAGCGTCCCTTTCACCCCCCTTTCCCATCTCTTTTCATATGAGCTACTGAATATGCAGCGAAAAAATAAAAAATAAAAAATAATGCAGTGATCTTTCTCAGATCGGTTTGTCTCGAATCCTACGCACACGCCCCTGCTTGGATGTATCTGACCGTAAATGCCATCAGGAAACACAAGTAAGAATGCCCTACTGTAGTCTGAGTATGCCCTTAATGTAGTTAAAGGCAGTTACTGTATTTATTAATAATATTATAGCAATCAGGCTAAGAGAAAAAATGCCGAAAGTCTCCCAAAAAAACCCTCCTTCTCCTCCCCCCCCCCCCCCCCCCCCCCCCCCCAAAAAAAAAAGAAAGGGCAAAGGAGTGCAATAAAGAGAAGCTTCTGGGAAAAACAAAAAAACAAAAAAAAATACTCATCTGTTCAATCAACAGCTAAATGCGTGTACCATTCAGCCACATGGGATGGGTTCCCGGGCTTGGTACATTCAAGGCGGGCCTAATTAAAAGTGAATCCCTTCCCCCCCCTTTAAAAAAAAAAACAAAAACAAGTAATATCTGAACTTACTTCCAGACACTCCCCCTCCTTCTCCTCCCTCTCCCTCCTTTATTTTCCCTCACAGGAAAAAAAAAAAAAAAAAAAAAAAAAA